CTTCTGTGCTCACTTGCTGGCCAGAGCAACCTCTGCACATGGCAGCTGGACTCATTTATGAAGTTTGCTTTCTATAGGGGACACTATGGCAGCTTTTCCTTGTAACGTGGGTCATATCAGCAGGGGGCACGAAGCACATGGCTCATCTACAGTCTCCATCAAACGGTCTTACTCTTTGACATAAGAGAATTTGGGGTAACCCCACATAGAATGTTGCACATCTGAGAGTGAAATTTAAAGTGCATGTGATCTTATTTTCATCAAAAAAAAGTCTTCGTTCTGAATCATGCCTTGGTTCCCAGGTAAATCCAAGAAGGTGGTAAGCTACAGTGAGAATGCAATAGTGCGATGAAGTTAGGGATGCCCTTGTTATCCACAGGAAAGTTTATGCTGTCTTCAAAATTTATTCAAAAAATCATATATTTGGGGGGTTACAATATATTTCAACACATGTACCTATTCTATAATAATAAAATCCTGCTAATTAAATTATCCATTATCTCCAACATTTATCATGACTCTATACTGAAAACACTCAAAATTCTCTTTGATTATTTTATTTTAAAGTTTGTAATGTATTAACTATAATCACTGTATGGTATAACAGAACATTAGAACCTATTCCTCCCATCTAGTTAGAACTTAGTACCCTCTGTCCAACTTCTCCCTACCCCTCTATATATTCATTCCCCAATCTCTAGTAACCATTATTTTATTTTCTATTTTTTAAAAGATTTTCACTTTTTAAATTATTTGTGTGTGCACATGCATGTTTGTGCAAGTGTGTGTGTGTGTGTGTGTGTGTGTGTGTGTGTGTGTGTCTGTGTCAGAGAGAGAAAGAGGGAGAAAGAAAGAAAGAAAGAAAGAAAGAAAGAAAGAAAGAAAGAAAGAAAGAAAGAAAGAAAGAAAGAAAGAAAGAGAGAGAGATTGTGAACATGAGAGCAGTTGCCTGAGGAGGCCAGAGAGGGTTTTTAGATCTCCCTGGAAATGGAGTTACAAACAGTTGGGTCCTGTTAACCAGATTTAGGTCTTCTGCAAGAGCAGCAAATATTCTGAATGGGCGAGCCAACTGATACTTCCTGCCATTGTGATAACATCTTTTGACTCCATATCATATGATATGTGTCTTTCTGTGCTTGTTTTTTTCACTGAATATGTTAAAGATCTATTATTTACACTGTTTTTACAGATATCTAGTTTCCCCTTGTTGTAGACACACCATATCTTCTTCCACACTTGTGGCTGGTTACTTAGACTGATTTCAATCCTTATCTATTAAAAAAAAAAAAAAAAAAAAAAAAAAAAACTATAGTAAGCATGGGATACATGTAACACATCTACATACTGGCATCAGTTCTTTCAGAAATATACCCAGTGCTTCTAAGTCATATGGCTGTTTTATTTTTCATTGTTTGAGGAACTACTATACTAATTTCCATTGTGGCTGCACTAATTTACCTTCTCTCCAACCCTGTTCAAAAGCCCCTTTGTCCTACATGCTCAGTAACATGTGTTTCCTTTGGGAATCTTTCTAACTGGACCATGATGATGCCTGGTATTGGTTTTGATATGCATTTCCCTTGTGATTAGTGGCACTCAGCCTTTCTTCTGTTCTTCCTAGGCACTCTTCTGTCCTCTTTGGAGAAACGTCTATCCATATAGAACAGACTTCCTTTCTACCACTAAGCAGTTAGAGTAACCCTTTGCCAGTCATGTGGTTCCCAAATATTTTTACCCATTCTGTAGGTTTTCTCCTCACTTTCTGATTATTTCCCTCACCATGTAGAAATTCCTTACATTGATATAATCTCATAAAAATAAACTTTTGCTTTGGCTATGGGTAATTTGGGAGTTAGATCTTAAAAGATTCTTGGCTATTTCAATATCGTGAAGCATATTTCCTACATTTTCATCTAATAATTTCATAATTTAGGTCTTATATTACCCATTTTAAGCTAATTTTATGATGGTGAGAAATAAACCCTCACTAAATTTCATTGCCTATGTGTAGCCAATATTGCCAGCATCTTTTATTAGAGAATCTGTTTTTCCTCGTGTGTGTTTTTGGCACCTTTTGGTTTCTCTAAACTGTGGCAAGACTATCTACTTTCACCACTCATATTCAACGTAGTATTCCCAGCCAAAGCAAGGCAAGAAGAAGCACCTACCCATGGAAAGGAAGGAGTCAAATTGTCTCTGAAGATCAGGTGAGCATATAGGTTAAAAGTTGAATAGTAACATGATTAGAGCTAGTCAATGAATTCAAGACAGTTGCAAGATATTACATTTACATACCACAGCATTCAGAATTCAGCAGCATTTCTACCTGCCAATAGTGAGCTCTCTGAAGAAGAAATTGAGAAAAGTCTCAACAGTACATCAGCCTGGGACTCAAAGTTGTAAACAGTTGATAAAACCAGTGTTTATTTCAGTTAGTCCAGCAAATTTTAACTTAAAATCTAAGTGTTACCTATAGTGATAAAATGTTGATTTCCCATGACTTTGATTTATATGAATTGAAAACATTTGTAGGTGTCAGAAGGGTCAATGTGCTATTATTCAATAATTAAATTAAATTATTTAATATTACATGTATTAAACTATAGGTGGCTTTAGGCAAGCTCCTTGGCTATGATGAGGTCTATCCTGATAAGCCCATCATAAGTTGAAAATATCCTAAGTCAAAAATGCATCTAATACCCTTAATCCACTGAACTTCAGAGCTTAGCACCCCAGCATGTTGTAGGATATCTGTTGATTCCTCTTGTAATGGTTTGGCTGACTATAACTGCAGTTTACTACTGCCCGGCATCCTAAGGTGGTATCATACTATATATCACTATGCTAGGAGAAGAGGAAGAGTCAAAAGTGAAAGTACACTTGCCATGGAACACAGACCATAAAGCTACATTGTTCTCACAATTGTGAAATTGAAAATTTTTAAGTCAAATCACAAGTCAGAAGCCATCTGTACTTGTTAGCACCTAACTAGAGCATGGAGCTGGCAGAGCCAAGTCAATCAGTGGACAACTAACTAGTCAGCAGCTCATTAACGCTGAGAAAGGCACTGCATAAAGTAAAAATTAATATTTACTAAAATTCTAAGTTCCATCCAACTCTCTGGTCTCCCTCTGAGATCCAAGATCAACTTTTCAAAAATTAAATAACAAGTGTGGTTCATTCCAAAAGCCCCAGGCCAAGAATAAGGGAGTGGGGCAGAGTCCAGATAGCTGCATGTTGTGCTGTGTTGTGTTATGTTGTGCTGTGTTGTGTTGTGTTTTCCTTTCTCCTCTGAGGACCATACACTATAGAGTCAGTACTTCAATTTGGGTATGTTCACAAAGACATGTCACTTCTACCATTTTCCATGGCACAGAATCCACAAAAAGCAATTTCAGTATCTGATCATTCTCTTTCCTCAACCCTAACAGCATTCAAAGCAAATTCATCTACCTTGACCTACCCAGCTCTGAAATGTGATACACTGGAAAAGGTAGGCACCAAGTTGTAAAATGGATCACAGGGGGTGGATCAACAAAACAACACTGGTACATATCATTTATTTTTCAAGTCAGTGAGTATATTTGAGATCACGCCTGTGTAATCTAGGCTTGGGCCCATCTCACTGGAAGGTGCAATGGTAGAGTGTGTCTACAAGCAAAACCATTTGCAAACAAGCATAGCCTGACTACGTGGCCCTTTATAAAAGTCCCTGCCTCCAACTCTATATCATATCTCCACTTTGTGGGGAGTTCACAGGGCGCTCACCTTCTTGATAGGACAAGATGCTGTGTTGCATCTTGTGAGCATCCCCATGAGGCCACTGCTGCCACAGTCATGACAGAACAAAATTTCCTGGGGATAACCATAGCCCTTAAAGCACTCAGGAAATTGTTTCTCTTCTCTCTCTCCTAAACCAGAATGGATCATCAGACACTCCATTGTGCCTACCTCCACTCAAAGTGTGTGAGACGGAGGCCAGGTGGATAGTAGACCAAATGATTACATGCAGCAGAATTTCTGCATACTCAATGAGCCTCCTCTATGCTGTGTTCAACACTGTAGAACCTCATACTGGCTTTCTGTTGCTCATGGTCATGGTAAGTGTTGTCCCCAAAAGAGAACCTTGGGCATTAGCATTTCTTGGCATTTTGAGGAGGTGGGGGAAGTGGCAGGGTCCAGTTGCCTGGGGAAAACATTTGTCTCGCGTCTCACAGAAAGCTGAAGAACTCAGCTCGAGGCCCCAATAGTGCAATGTAAATGGGCCTTCTTTACACACACTGGGAAACAGGTCTGTGATCTGAAGGGCCCCACTGTTAGCCTAGAGATGCTTCTCTCTTTCCCCTGAACACAATTTGTTCATCTTATCTTCTTCACTGGTTCTTGCTTCTGCATGGAGAGAGAGCACTCTTTCTTCAGACTATTCTTGTCTGCATCTGACTTCAGTGCTGCTTTGGCCCTCATTGACCCTATCAGTGTTGCTACTGATTTCTCTTGTAGACATTTTCTGGCTTCACCTTTGTCCTATCTGTACTTTTTACAGTGCCTCCCAGTCAGAGCACCCCTCTGCTGTGGGATGGTCTATATGCTGTGAATGTGTAGCTCTGAATGGTTGATAAATAAAATGCTGATTGGCCAGTAGCCAGGCAGGAAGTATAGGTGGTATAAGCAGACAAGGAGAATTCTAGGAAGAGGAAGGCTGAGTCAGGCGTCACCAGCCAGACACAGAGGAAGCAAGATGTGAAGGCAGAACCGAGAAAAGGTACCAAGCCATGTGGCTAAACATAAATAAGAATTATGGGTTAATTTAAGTTTAAGAGCTAGTCATTAATAATCTTGAGTTAATGGCCATGCAGTTGGTAAATAATATAAGCCCCTGTGTGTTTACTTGGGTCTAAGTGGCTGTGGGACCAGCGGGTGAGAGAGATTTGTCCTGACCGCAGGCCAGGTGGGTCACAGGAGAAAACTTTCAGCTACACCCCTCCATTCTGAATGGTTACCTGGACCAATGGTAGTGTTCTTAGATCTCTTGTCTTTTCTGGATTTTTCATTTTTCTCCTGAAAAAAAAAAATTGGTTGATTGTTGTTTTTGGCTACCCAAAAACATTTTCCTTTAAGATGCTTCTGTGTTTAGAGAAATTCCAAGGTTTTAGTGTTGCATTCTTCTCTTTTTTTTCCATATCTGCCAATTTTCAAATTTATAAACATTATCTCAACACTGAACACAGGCATAATATTGGCACCAGAGGCAAGAGTCTGAAGTCTTCATCAGCCCCTGACATATCTTGGAGAAGTGCAGGCTCCGTCCTAAGTCAAGAGCAAAGCAGAGGGAATAAGAGCAGGTCAGGGAAGATTTCAGAAAGGAGAAAGGCAGCCATCAGTGCTCAAAAATATACTACTGAAATCAAGTTTGGGAAGGTCTTCAGAGTTATATGAAATTGACTAAGAATTATAATGGCCATCTAGTTTGCAAAGTACTAGTTGGCCCCAGGTCCCTCTGTGCAGAGACTACAAACACAACTCCAAAGAGCTATAACTGAAGTCCCCTGGACCTAGAACAAACCACATTTTGAATAATAGATCACATTGTCTAGTAATGGCATGCCTCAAAGGATGACCATATCATACAGCAGGCAGGCTAAGATCAAATTCCAGGTGAACTATATGTCTGTTTTTCCATCTATCTCTGTATCTCCCAGGTTTCCTTTTTCATGCACTTCAGAAATGACATCTGAACTCCCTTCATATTTTAAGATGTGGTGATCCTAGGAGACATTTTATCAGGGATGCTTGAAAGTGGAAAGGATCATTAGTTGTTCACTAATACAAGAATCATCATCTTGGAATATAACCTTTCCTCTTGGTCCCTGATCAGCTGTCTATAAAAGTGTTGAGGGATAATTAATGACCAAAAAGAAGTCCCTGGGGAGAGAAGACATAAAGCAGACATTTATCAACAGTGGGATTGTGTTTTCCTTTAACACTGCAGGACCGAAGAGAGGCTAGAACGGAAATAAAACTTCATAGCTCAACCCCACTTTTCTTCCTGCCCCCTTCACTGCGGTGTCTGGAACTGCACACCCTCCTTCCCACTGTCTGCCCTGCACTGTGAACAGCCATTCCTGTGTATGTGTTGACACCCTGCCCTGCCCAGATCTGTCTGCCTTCACCCCCTCCACCCATGTGGTCACTTCTCATACCTAGGCTTGCACTTGCCTGCAGCTTTGCCCACCCTAAAGAGGAGAACCTGGAAGAAAATTCTTACGAAGAGGCCTTCCTTCAAATTCTGGACCCACCCTGGCATGGGAGTCCAAGGTCTAGATACTATGGAGGGCTATGGTTTAAACCCCAAGAGACATCATTTATTTCTCCCACCCTCCCCCGTGGATGGTGTGTGGTGTGTGTGTGTGTGTGTGTGTGTGTGTGTGTGTGTGTGTGTGTG